CTTGTTCTTTTCTGCCATGTGTTATTTAATTAAAACATGAAGTTCTTTCTTGGTCTCCTAAATCGTTCTGGCATGGCTGAGGGCTGCTGGGATGGGGGGCGGCGGGCATGAGACAGGGCTTTTGATCTGGAGTTAGAAGTTGCCAACTGATTTCTTTTCTTTGATTTATGGCATCTTGGTCTCCCCCAGGGGGTGAGACACAACGCCCCCATTGCCCCTAGACATTCCTACAGGGCTGCGCTACCTACCCTTCCTTTGGAAAAGACATTTGCTATGACAGGTCACAAGAAAGGAAATACTTGGGGTGGAGAAGCAGCGGGAATCGTTCACTAAGTTCATCGTGTTAGGAAAAAATACCAAGTTCCGGGCTGGGAAGGTGGCTCCGTGGTAGAGTGCTCACCTAGCACACAGGATTCCTCAGTAACACCTACAGGGCAAAAGCCAGAAGTGGAGCTGTGGTTCAAGTGGTAGAGTGCCAGCCTTGAGCAAAAAGAAGCTGAGGGACAGCACCCAGACTCTGAGTTCAAACCCCGGGACTGGCGAAAGAAAAGAAAGAAAGAAAGAAAAAGAAAGAGAGAGAGAGAGAGAAAGAAAAAAGAAAGAAAGAATTACATTCTAGCTGGGCACAAGTGGCCATAATCCTTGCTACTCCTGAAACTGAGATCTGGAGGATTGAGGTTCAAAGCCAGCCAAAGTAGAAAAGTCTGTGAGACTCTAGTTTTTCCATTGGCTAGCTAGCAAGAAGCAGGACTGGAGGCGTGGCTCGTGTGGTAGAGCACCAGCCCAGAGGGAGAGAAGCTCTGAGTTCATACTCTGGTTCAGGCACAAAAAAAAAAAAAAATAAAGAGGAACTGAGTCTTAATGAGTGACCGCAAGAAATGTCCTACTGAGACGCTAGCCAGCACTTGAGAATGTCTGCGCTTCCTTTTCTCCTGTGCTGTTACTTTAGGATGAGCTATGAACAGTGGTACATGGGTTACAATCGATAAACGAGGAAGCCAGGACCTAGTATAACACCCACCCACCAGCACCAAGACTGGGCTCAGCCAGCACTCAGCTGGGCACAGGTCCGGGAGGGACTGAGTCCCAGCACTCAGCCATGTACTCATCCAGGGGGAACTGAGTCCCAGCACTCAGCCAGGCACAGGTCCGGGGGGGACTGAGTCCCAGCACTCAGCCAGGCACAGGTCCGGGGGGGACTGAGTCCCAGCACTCAGCCAGGCACAGGTCTAGGGGGGACTGAGTCCCAGCACTCAGCCAGGCACAGGTCCAGGGGAGACTGAGTCTCAGCACTCAGCCAGGCACAGGTCCAGGGGAGACTGAGTCTCAGCACTCAGCCAGGCACAGGTCTAGGGGGGACTGAGTCCCAGCACTCAGCCAGGCACAGGTCCAGGGGAAACTGAGTCCCAGCACTCAGCCAGGCACTCATCTGGAAGGACTCCATTGTCAGCACTGAGGCTGCAACGAACCACAAGAAAATCCCAGGCCTTGGGGCTGGGCAGTTGGCTCAGTGGTAGAGCGCTTGCCTTTCATGCATGAGGCCCTGGGTTTGATTCCTCAGCACCACATAAGCAAAAAGAAAAAAGCCAGAAGTGGCGCTGTGGCTCAAGTGGTAGAGCAGCTAGCCTTGAGCTGAAGAGCTGAGGGACAGTGCCCAGGCCAGAGTTCAGGCCCCACGACTGGACCAAAAAAAAATCCAAAAAACAAAAAAGCAGCCAGAGTCAAGAGCCAGACCCAGAATCTCCACAGAGGCTGGGAGACCAGACACGGGAAATCCAAGGAAGACAGAGACTGTGAGGATTGCAGTTCAAGGCCAGCCTGGACAGAAACGTTGGCAAGACCCAGCTCAACAACCAAGCCCAGCATGGCGGCGCATGCCTGTAATCTCAGTTAAAGACTAGCCTGGGGCCAACCTGCACACACCACTGAAAACAAGAAAAGAAATTAAAAAGAACAGAAAAGCCATGGCACAGGTGATCGAGAATTCACCTTCTAACGTACACGGTCCTGAGTTCAGACTCCAGTACTGGGGGGTGGGGGAGGGGAATGAGTGTGAACACGTGTGTGAGAGGAGGAAGGAAGGGACGGAGGGAAAGAAGGAAAGAGGAAGGGAGCGAGGAAGAGAGAGAAAGAGGAGGAAGGAAAGAGGGAAGAGAGGCAAGGAGCAAGAGAAGGAAGAGGGAGAGAGAGGAAAGGAAGAAGGAGAGGAAGGAAGGAGGGAAGAGAAAGGAAGGGAGGGAGGGAAGGAAGGAGAGGAAGGGAAGAAGAAAGGATAGTAAGGAAGGAGGGAAGGAAGGAAGGAAGGAAAAGGAAGAGAGGGAAGGAAGAAGGAGAGAGAGGGAAGGAAAAAGGAGAAGAAAGGAAGGAAGGAAGGAGGGAAGAGAAAGGAAGGGAGGGAGGGAAGGAAGGAGAGGAAGGGAAGAAGAAAAGATAGTAAGGAAGGAGGGAAGGAAGGAAGGAAAAGGAAGAGAGGGAAGGAAGGAGAGAGAGGGAAGGAAAAAGGAGAAGAAGAAAGGAAGGAAGGAAGGAAGGAAGGAAGGAAGGAAGGAAGGAAGGAAGGAAGGAAGGAAGGAGAAGAAGGAATAAAGGAAGGGAAGGAAGAAGGAGATGGAAGGGAGAGGAAGGAAAAAGGAGGAAGGAAGGGAGGAGGAAGGGAGGAAGGAAGGAAGGAAGGAAGGGAGAAAGGGAGGGAGGGAGGGAGGGAGAG